CAATTATTCTATTCTGAATATCCGGTTTCGCTAACCCATAGTTGGAAGTTCCAACTACAGATTTTAATGAACCGGACCGGATATCCAATCCAATTTGGTAAAATCCGATATACTAGTTACTCCTAGTATAAAGGCAATCATGCCGAGCGATAGTTTAAGGTGATTTGTTTTCGACCAAACGGTTTTATTTTTGACCATTTAAAAAATTATTTAACGACATGGCAATACCCACCAAACTTTGGATGGTGTGCATTTTCATGTCATTGGCCGTCTACAAATTACGTTACGTGTTAGGGTGGAAGAGAGTCGTTAGCAATTTTGTAACGAAGCAATTAACGTTAGCAATTTTGTTACAGGAAGGGGGGATTCAACTTTGTAACGCAACATTTTTTCTAGAAAAACTATTGAGCAATTTTATATATACATATTGATTAAAAGTGAGCCAAGTCTAAATCACAAAGAGTGCCGAGTCTAAATCACAAAAGAGTGCCGAGTCTAAATGACAAAGCCTTGGTTGATGTATACTCAACTGCTGGTATTCCAATTTAACTTAAATTGGGTTTTTTTAAATTGATTTTTTAAATTTATAGAAATTAAATTTTTATACTGATTTAAATTTTAGTAATAAAATGCAGACTGCGCTGCGTCTACGGCTTCATCAGTTAATAATATAGCCGATATATCATCGATAAAAAGATAATCAGTAATAGTAAAATTATTAAATAAATATAAAGATATAAGAAATATTTAAATTAAAATAATAGTTAATAAGCATTAGCATAAAATATTATGTAAATTTAACCTTCACCGCGACACTAACTTATTACTAAAGAAGTTATTTAAGTAAAATAATTATCAAAAATTAAATATCTTTGGAGTTTATTTGTCTGTTTAGTCACTGTGTAAGTACACTCTATTTACCCCACAACTATTTAGCAGCTGTAGTGCAGTGGTTATTGCGCTTGCCTTGGAAGCTTTAATAACCTCGGTAAGAAAGGAACGTACCAAATTAAATAAAAATACTATCACGTTTCTCTATTTCTTATCGCGGCTCTTACCTCTACAAACTAATATTTAAAGATACTACAATTACAAAATTAGTTTAATTAATTAATTACCCAAATTCTCTGAAAATACTATTAAAAAAACTTGTTCTTGACTTAAATAATTTTACGAACGTATATATAAAAAAAATTACTAAAAAAAAAACAACCTAAACCTAAAAACCTAAACCTAAAAAATTAAATTCAAAGCAAAGTATATATTAGATTTTATCTATATTTCGTACATGTCTGTCATTATATTTAGTATAACAAGCCATGCAATTACATAATTAAGTGTGTATCAAATACAACTCTTTTCTCTTTGATTATCTGATAACATTTTATATGTGAATTTAATGCCACCATGAGACTTTGCTAAACTGAAATTTTTTAATAAATTAAGTATACAAAAATATCGCAAATATCAGACCGTAAAGACTTTTTGAGGCACTTAAAATAAAGAATTTAACAATTTTTTGATAATATATTTTCTTTGTGGGTTTATTTGTATACGCGTTCAATTAATAACTTTCATAGTAATAATAAACAATAATGTTAAAAATTTATATGTACAAAGTAATAATAAACAATAATATTTAAAATTTGTACAGGATATTCAGTTTTATTTTTTTATCTTATATATTAATTTCATTTTTTAATTTTTGCAATGTTTTCGTAATTTTTTTACTTTTTGTTAAATTGTTTACAATTAAAAACCTGACAGCCTGGTTTATGCCACACTGTTCAGGTTCACCAGTTCTTCTCCGGACATATTTGACAATTTCCATTTGTCTTTGATAACTATCTTTAAGAATATAAAATAACCATCATTCCTTTCATATCGTTTTGTTTTTCGACAAAAATTTGATTTAAATCATCATAATAACAGATAGTCATAACAGACAGATAGTCATAACAGATAGGTAATCATAACAGACAGTTAGTCATAACAGATAGATAGTCATAACAGATAGATAGTCATAACAGACAGGTAGTCATAACAGATAGATAGTCATAATAGATAGATAGTCATAACAGATAGACAGTCATAATAGATAGATAGTCATAACAGATAGATAGTCATAACAGATGGTCATAACAGATAGATAGTCATAATAGACAGATAGTCATAATAAACAGATAGTAATAACAGATAGATAGTCATAACAGACAGATACTCATAATATGACTATATAATCATTTTTATGACGCCATGGCGTACTTTATTACAGGTCTATTAGCCGCGCAGATGACATAATTAACTGGGGGCAAACATTTTTTATTTTCTATATTCTATAACATAAACGTATATTCTATGGCACAAACCTGTCGATAACATAAATCAAAGTGCTTGCTTAACTATTAAGGCAATTTTGTAAGTTTTTAATTTTGTAAATTTTCAATTTTGTAATAAACATGGGTTATAAATACTGCCACAAATTGCAACGGAAATTATAATAAAAGTCTATATAAAAAACTTTTCGTCTTTTTCAAACACTAGAAGAAAAAAAAAAGTGGTTTGCTATTACACCAAGAGACAATATACCACATAAGAAAGACACTGTTGATTATTAAAGGAGCTGGCCTGTTGGATATGTTTCAACAAAAGAATATGGAAAAGAAAGACCTTGTGATCCTCCATCAGTGTTAAAAAGCGTGTAAAACCATATTTAGTGAGTAAAATCAATTTTAATTCCTAAACCATCCCTTGAAGTTGTCCCAGAACAACTTCAAGATTATATTCAGAAACTAAAGCTGGTCAACCAGATAAGTTTTCTAGTTTGATGAAGATGATTTTCTTGAGTTATCAGCTTTGATTGTTGAGATGAACTTTATGACTATGATCCAGTACCATAGAGTTTTGAAACAATTTAAGTTAACAATCCAAATGTTCTTGCAACAACTACTTTTTTTTTTGGGAGACCGAAATTTTCATGTAAAAAGTTTGTGTGAAATTAAATCAAATTTTCTTTTCGATTAAATTTCTTTGTTTATATGCCATAAAAGCAGCAGATGGTCATGTTATTTCTATAGTTTGCGATGGTAACAGGGTAAATCAAGCCTTTTTTAATAAATATGAAACAGATGGCGCAGCATGGCAAACAAAAGATATATTATATCTCCTGCATGGTTTTGTGCATCTTTTAAAAAATATTTGCAATCATTGGATTACAGAAAAGCCACAAAAACTTGAGTTTTTTGTGAATAAGTAAAAAAATGTTGCCAAACGGTCTCACATTGTAAAACTACATAAATTAGAATCAAATCAAATGATAAAAATGTTAAAACTAATTGAAAGGCAAAAAGTTTCGACTTGTCCAAAATTATTTTGCGAAGAAACAGTCTGTGTCACTCAGAGTTAAAAGTTATGGTACTATTTCTTTCCTTTCAATATTAATGTTTTGCTTAGATCTTCTACAACCGATCCTTTAGAAAAGCAGTTTGGAAAACTGAGACAAGGATCTGGAGGTACATATTTTATAACTGTACAAAAATAGTAGAGAAAGTTGGTATTATAAAACAAAACTACTTTGCAATTAGATAAGTATAGTGTTAGTACATAGTTTTATTACATCAGGATATTCTTGTAAATGATGTGGTTTATATTTTTGAGTAAAAATTTAAAAATTAAGAAAAATGTTTGATATTTAATAAATTACCAGAATTAGTAAGTATACTATCTATAGATGTTAAAATGGCTCTAATTTACATAGCTGGTTATATTGTCCAAAATGATTAAGGTTCAGATGATTCGTATTCTTATTATGAGATAATACATGCAAACCTTCTTTGTGAAACCTAATGATGCTTGTATCGGAGTAATATCCATTAAATATTAACAAAAACCATGGTGTTATACTTTCAAATATGTTTTTTAGAAACTATTATAATTTTGATTTGCCAATGTCTGAAAAAGAATCAAAATAAAAACCTTTGAAACTTAGTGTTAAATAACAAATGCCAGCAGCAAGTGTTTTCTGATAAAATAAAATAATAATACCTCATATAGTTAATACTTAATACTTTTGTTTGATTTTTGTTGAAATATTTCGAAGAGCAAACTAGAGAGAAGTCTGGATTTAATGCATTAAGTGTCACCTTCGGGCTTACGACTCCTGTATAACTGGAAAGTCTTTGTTTTTTATTTGCGAAGACTGTAATGATTTTTGTTGTTAATGGAATTGTAACTATTCATATTGTATAAGAATTTTAATGATAGCTTAAAACAATTTTGTGTTTTTACTTGTAATTACTATATTTACTCTTTTGCTTAAAAAGTTATAATTGTGTGATGGGATCCAAAAATATATGTTTTGATTTCACTAAATATGATATAAGCTCATTTGGCTCACCAAAACGTAATTAATTGTCATAATATTGATAAAAAATATTTCATCTGAAATTACTTAGCAAAATGTAAAAATTAAGGTATAAAAAGTTGTTAGATGACTCTTATATAAAACATTAGGCATTAACTATTATTATAGTGAGTCACCTTACCCTTTGAGTTCTGTAAAACCGCGCACTCAAGACATTTTCTAATAAATTTTAAGTTCGGGAAACCGTTAAGTCCCAGGTTGCTGCGCGCGCATCAGTTGAGGTAGAATTATCCTGTCGCTTTGTATTTACCTGACCTTATTTTGTAGCAGACTTAGTTTAGAATATGTAATTTGTGATGCCTTAACCCCATCTTATGTTGTATACAGATATTCTCTCAAAAGCTACACTTAAAATAAAATTGACAAATTTTAAATTGCGACAATTGGTAGATATGTATTAACAAATCCAGAAAGTATTTTGATGTTTTATAATTTCAAATAACTGTTTTATTATATTGCAGCTTTGTTCATATTTTCATTCATTTTGACTTAAAATCAACTATAATTCATTGAGTATATATTTAAAAAATCATGCAATTTGACGTAAATTATGATTTAAAATAAAAATTATATAGACTATTAACTTATTACTCCTAGCTTTACTTAACATTACAAAGAAAGACTATTCAGATTTTTACATGATATATATAACAAAAATTGTGTAAGAATTCATTACTGCTAATGTAAAATGCCAAATAAAGAAGACGAGCCTATAAAGAAGCGCCATTTTAAAGGTAACAAATAAAAGTGTTTTTAAAAATAGTTGCTAGTATTTTGCTCGATATATTATAAATTTAATTTAGTTTTTTGTACAATTATTTGTTATGTGTATTTAAAATGTCTAGTTAAATAATATTTGCTTATCTATATGTTGCTTTAAATTTTTGTTGATTATCGTATTCCAAATAATAAGGTTTAAGCCTTGTGCTCCAATTTGCCATCCAATTATGTTCAACTGTATTATTAATACAAAAAGGACTTAATAATGGGCTTAATAATTAATAATTAATTAATAATGCAGTTTCTTAATAATACTATTAATAAGGAACTGCAATAATAAGTCCCTTAGCAATTTATATCTTTACTACCAGTTGAAAATTTTTTGTAAGAAAGGGGGTATATATGTATATATATATATATATATATATATATATATATATATATATATATATATATATATATATATATATATATATATATATATCCAATGAAATCTTTGATGCTTATACAAAATAGTTTTATTTTTTTCGCTTGTTGTGCTCTTGTCAGTGGATGCTTTTTAAAAATTACAAATATTATTTCAAACAATAAAAGAAAAAAGATTCCTGCCCCATGCCAAACCCTCAGTCGATGTAGCAGTACTTCCTTGTAGCAGAAGGCTATAAGATAGTTGACATATGTACTGAAGCTAATAAATATTCTTTATGTTTATATTAAAAAGTCACTACTGAGCAAGTCTTGTAAAAAGCGAAAAAATAAAACTGTTACGTCGTTTAACTGCAGATTTACCCAATTAATATATCTATTTTCTTTGTGTTTTGAAACATGGTCAGTATTTATAAATACACTTTATTTATTTTTTGCTGTTTTTAAGAATGCTAATAAACAGTTTTTATTAGTTTATTTAAAAATATAATTATCATGGTCTTCATTGATCACAATTCAATTAGTTAAGTAATAAGTCTTATGTATTCATTTATTTTAGGTGGCATTGGAAATCGAGTTTTCAACCTTCACTTTTATTTTTGGCTTCAGTTTGAAACTAAAATATTTTGCATTATATTACTTAGCTATCAAATTTTTATACTTTTAAGTTTTTAAGAAATAAAAAAATTTTGTTTTAGAAGCTGCTATAGAGGAAGATTCAGAAAGTGAAAGTGAAAGTGATTCCTCGGAAAGCGTAAGTTGCTGTTTGTGTATTAGTTTACTATCTGTTTAACATATTTTGTAAAATCCAATTCAAAATAGTATAAGTTGTTTCCTATGTACTACTTTTTATTAATTTTTCAAAATATTCACATTTGAAAAAGTAAATTATATTAAATTCTAAACAAACAAAAAAATGCTTTCAAGCCTTTAGAGTTATCTTTTTATGTTTAATATTTTTTTTAACATCACATTTTATATAAATGATGAAGTTAAACAAAACAAAAAAAAACAGTTTTAATAAAAAGTAGTAATCCTTATACCAAACTTCCCTTAAGAATATTTTTTCTGTGGTAATCACATTTTCTTGGTATAATTTAAATGCCAGAGACACGAAGTTTGCTGCACTTGATGTTGATATATATGGTCACTATATGTGAAGTACAAGTTAGGTATGTATTCCAGGTTTGTATGACATACAAACAAAAGCAAGAAGAAAAATGCTGCTCCTTTATTTTCTTGCATTTCACTTATACATTTTGTTGTTACACTGATTTAAAAGATTTTAGGTAACTTATTTTAAACACACTGTTTAGCCATGTCCTTCTCCACCTCTTCTGCTTTCCCAAGTCATACCAAAAAATGGAGTTGTAGATGAAAACATACCAAGTAAGTCATAGTAATATTTATTTAAAGTATTATGTTGTTAGATAGACTTTAGACTATAAAAATCATCAATTTTTTTGAATAACAAAAATTAAAAAATTGACTGTGAATATTAAAGTTAAATTTTTTTTTTTTTTTTTTGAGTTCCATATTCCATTAGTTTTGCACCATACAATTATGATGAAAATTATATTAATAACACTATTATTACCTTGATATTGACCATATGGATCCAAAACAGCAAAAGTTAAAATAGCTAAATCCATTGAAATTGGTTTTGAAAAATTGGGAATAGGTTAAGAGCTTTAGAAGCTCAGAGTATGTTTTGGGCACATTAATAGGTATATTAGACATGTTTTAGGTACATTAGATTGGTACATTAGAGCATGTTTTAGGTACATTAGATTTTTGCTATTAATCTTTTGCTATTTTGGTTTAGAATTAATAATGACATAACTACATTTCATTATGACATTATTACCATTTATTTTTTTATTTTTTATAAGTTCACTCCCAACAATGCTGCAATCGACCAATAAGTTGGGAGATACTATAGAAACCATTGAAGAAGATTACCTGTTAAGAGATTATCTATCTAAAAAGATAAGGAACATAAACTGAAAACAACAGAAAATCAGAATGAAAGGAGGGAAATCTAAAGCATGGATGTCAAAACTAGACAAAGAAAATCAATTTAGCTAAAAAAAAAAATTAAATATCTCTGTTGAATAATTTCAAAATTTTATTAGGTAGGTGAAAAAGAAATTTTTTACAAAATAGTAATTGCAAGATACTAAATCAAAAGAAAATACTAGATGGTGCAACAAATTTAAAATGTTTCTGTAGCTGTTTATTAGGAAATAATATCAGTAGATAAAGAAGTGCAGAAAACATATAAACTTGAAATTCAATCGTGACATTTGGAAAGCTAAGAAAAGTTGGAAACTTTAGACTTAATGATGATCTATTTGGAACGATAAAAAAAGTTTTGAATCTAATTTTGATCTTTTTACAAAAAAGATAAATATTAGTATATACAATACTATATACTAGTAAATAAATAAATAAATTTGATAAAGTTAGAATTTTATTAGAATATTTCTATATAATATGTTGACAATTTAACATGATGATAATTATATATATATATATATATATATATATATATATATTTTTGTGTGTGTGTATATATATATATATATATATATATATATATATATATATATATATATATATATATATATATATATATCAACCAACGGAATTAAAGTCGTTATTCAGCAGTGCCGAACTAACTGCCTTCCTCATTTCTATGGTTTACGGTGACTCCTTTGTATCAAATTTGTTTTGCCGACCTGTTGCTGACCTCTAGCAATTTAATGTTGTCAATTTATTGCCGACCTCATTTTTCCTAATTCCAAGGTGATATATATATATATTGTTGAATTTTATATCAGTCAAGATTATATTTTGATAAGAAAAACAAGAAATTTCATTAATTTTTTTCAATTTGCACATTGTCAGAGGTCAAAGGATGGAGAAAAAGCAAAAAAGAGACCCTACCTTACAACCTTTATGGCATGCTTAAACCTGGCTACCAGAACTGGTCTAACTGCATGCAATATATTTTTGTACTATGCCAAAGGAGATCATGTGTCATCATTAGCAAATTCAGTCCAAAAAAATAATTAGCAATAAAACAAGAGGATTGAATTGATTGTCAGAAATTGAGTTATGAATGCTGATGATCTTGTTAAATGAAAACTTAATTCCTTGCAAATAATAGTTAATAGACTGATAAAACAAGAGTTGAAAAGTTTAGAACTGTCTCAATTTTTCAATTTAGAAGCAACAGATGATAGGCTTAGAAGCAACATATGTTAGGGTTAGGGTTATTTCCCAGCAATCAAATAAGTGCTTATTAAATAGTTAAGAGTGTATTGAAAAGGTTTCTAGTGACTGATTGATTTCTTAGTGATAACAATGTGTTTGGTTTTAGGTTACTTAGTTGAAAACAGTCATAAAATATAAATAATAGTGTAAGAAGGAGGAAACTATGTTGTAGAATGAGACTTGACCTAAGACCTATATAATTGGAAGTTCATGGGATTATGCAACAGCCACTGAATATGTTACAAAATATGTTTTTTTTATCACCAGCAAAATCCTTTGACATTTTAATAATTGTTCAAAATTTTGAAAATTATTTAAAAAAAAAAAAATTTATAAGTATGTTAAAAAGTATTTGTTAATTAAAAAACGGTTTCTATTGAACTATACCATTGTTATAATGAACTTTTTGTAAAGAAATGTTTTAAATGAGATTATTTTTATTTATGTAATGATCAGAAGAAATACTTGATAATGTGAGGTTCAGAGAAATTTTAGTCAGACTGACTTAAGTAATAGTCAGATTGACTTAAGTAATGGTCAGACTGATTTCTTGATAACAAATTAAAAAAGGAAAAAATATTCTGGAATGTGATAAAAAGTGATCTGTAAGTGAGAGATTGTATTCCTTTTTTTTTTTGAGTTATTGTGCTAGCAGAATGAAAACAACAAAGTTCAAATCATACTGTAGCAATGAAAAATGTATTGAAATAATTCTAATTAAAAACACATTAATATTCAGAAAATACAAATATTTTTTCATTGCAAATTTTTGTTGTCAGTAATGGTTAAAGTCAGATGTTCCTAATCTGGATCTTCAAAGAGAAGTGAAGTTTAACTTAAGTATTGAGTATGGCGTTTTTTAATAGTGGCCAACCATCTTTTTTCACATCCAGGTTTAAAAAGGTAACTCACAACTATTTGTTTTTAAAATATTTAGGTTATATGACCAAGATGATTTATAATTATGCTTGTTGTTGTATTAATATTTTATTTTGGTTAGTTTTGCTGATTTTTTTTGTTTTATTCTTATTTCAATAAATAAGCATGAAAGTTAAAACATAATTAAATAGTGGTGTTTTATAATTATATAATTTTATAATATTTTCTTCTAAATTAGCTTTAAATGCTTTGTTTTGTCATAATTAGCATAATTAGACCAATTAAGTATTGTGTTAATTTTAAAACAATATTTTAACTGGAAATTTAAATAAAAATTACAAAAATGGTAATTGCTTTAATAAAAACTCACAAAAACAAAACAAAATATTTTCAAAAAATCTTGTAAAAATGCACACTTTTCATTTTTGAGTAAAATTTTGTGCTGGGAAATCTAGATAAATAGTTTTGGTACAATTTACTTTTTGTAATCCATCATGACCTTAAATTTTCTTTTTTAGTAAATATCAAGTGTCCTTTAAATGTTCATGAGAGTATTCCAAAAAATGTCATTCATTTTTATCTTTTTATTTATGATTTCTATTTTATTTATCTTATATTCATAACTTTAAATCCATTATTATTTAATTATTTAAGAGGGGTGTCAGCAAATAATTTTAAAAAAATGTTGTTCTAAGAGCTACCCTATTGTAAATATTTTTAATTTTTTTTTAGCAATTTGATACTAAATTTCATGTTTTAGACTTTTATGGGAATTAAACTGTCATGTTTGTACAAGTAAAAAATGTGATTTAAAATTAGATTTATAAATTAAATTTTAAGACACCACAGACCACTGGGTGTCTTAAACGATCATTTTAACAATTTTACATATATTTATTTCATTTAGTAAGGCTTACAGTAAGATAAAAAACTTACAACCTATTTACTTCTTAAAGCCAAAATACCAAGTTCTTGCCAAATTCTTCAGATAGATTACCTGAAATTCTTTGTTAATTTATTATTTCTTTATGTTATCCAAAATATAAACTTTATGGTCATTTTTTCTTGACTTTGGAAATAATTTTGTTCCTCGGCTAGGGTTTTAGTTTAAATATATAGGTCTTCTAAACTTAAGGAATAGGTCCTCACAAACTGTATAGAGGCTATTTCTCACATTTTTATATAATTTAATTGTTTAATTATTCTTTACTGATAAGTTTTTTCAACTCTTTTAAATTTTTTATATATCTTTGATTACTCAGTGCTAAATTTCTGATTGTTTAAAGTATGTGCACATCTTTTCTGAACCAAGTTTTAAAAAAGCTTTAGATGGTTTTTTGTTGACGATACTTCTCTGAGCCAAGTTTTAAAAAAAGCTTTAGATGGTTTTTTGTTGACGATACTTTTCTGAGCCAAGTTTTAAATAAAGCTTTAGATGCTTTTTTGTCGACGATACTTTTCTGAACCAAGTTTTTAAAAAAGCTTTAGATGCTTTTTTGTTGACTATACTTTTCTAAACCAAGTTTTTAAAAAAGCTTTAGATGCTTTTTTGTTGACAATACTTTTAAAACTTGCTGCAGTTTTTGTTTTTTAATGGTTTTTCCTTGAACCTAGAAATGTAATACAATGAGAAATAAAGCTAGAAGTTTTATGTAGGTATCATGTACAAACTATTCAGGTGGAAGGTTTTAACATGACCAAGGGAAAAAAATAAAGTTTATGAAATGTTCCTCTGGGAAATCCTTTGAAAAAAGATAAAAATGTGTGTTTGTTGAAAATAATGGCAAGGGATTATTGTCAACAGTAAAACCCATATTCTCTAAATTTATTATCTGGTAGATTTCAAGACTGATGCAGTTTATATCAGGATAAGTATTTAGATTAATATATTTATATTCTAATTTTTTGTATCTAGTTTTTAATATTATAATAATTCATTATATTTAATTTGTAGTAATTGTATTTAATATATAGTTATTGCTCAATATAGCGTAATTGTGATCTGTAAATTATTCAGATAAGCAATAATAATTTTATAACATCACCATAGTAACACGATTTTTTTTTGTTAAAGGTTTTTAACTATATTTTAGAGATTTGAAAAAGTATTATTTTTAAAGCTTCTTTTTTAAAGCTTCTTTTTTACTTTTTTTAAATGAAGATGTGGGATTTTTTTTCTGAATCCTAATTGTAACATAAATTTTAATATTTATTTCACTATGTGGATCCGAAAATCAACATTTATGTATTGTGGGTGCATTGTAATAAAAGATTTTAATAATATTTTACCCATGAAATATTAACTGTTTCAGTTAATTTGCAAAACATAATGTATATAATATATGATGCACTGATTTATTTTGAAATTATATCAAGTTAATTAGGGTGGTTCAAAAACAAAAATTAAGAAAAAAACCTTTATCCCATGTATAAAATTTTTTTTTATCACAACTTTTCAATATAGAAATTGTCAATATAGAATTTTTCAAATATTTTTTTTAAACGGTAGATGTTATTACAGGGTTATGACAAATTATAAAGTGCTTTATGCAAAATTTTAAATTGTTTTAGGCAAAATTATAAAGTGCTTTATGCAAAATTTCGAATCGTTTAATAAATCCATTTAAAGCATAAAAAAGTTCGAATATATGATTTATTTATATATAAGCTCATATCATTTAACATTTAGACTTCAAAAAAATTATATTAATTTAAGCAACCACTTTGTTCAAAAATCACTTTATTCAAAAATTTGTTTAGCTATTTCCAACCATCGTTCCATTGATCTCCAAAATCCACTTAATTCTTCGTTAATTTAATGTATTTTATTAAAAATTATTTCCAATGCATCTCCAATATTAATTTAATTATTTAAAGCTTTTATTCCGCGATATCTTGCCTTTATCATGCTAAAAAATTCCTCAATGGGATTTAATTGAGGAGACCATACCGGTAAATATTCTCTATTTATTCTTAATTCATTCAAAAGTTCTATAATACTTCTTTATCTGTGAAATGGAACATTATCCATTATCAGTATATGGTCTGAGTTTAGTCGGAAATAATGACACAGGTTATTTCTGATAAATCTTTCAAAGCTTTCAGCATTATAAGCTCCAGTTCTTAATTCATAAGCAACCACATCAGAAATATTTATTGCACACATCAAACATCGATTTGTATTTCTGTTTCCGGAAACAACGGAATATGCCTTTTTGTTTTTTCGATAATACCCACATCGTCTTCTCAAATGCTGATTAAATCCTGATTCGTCTAAAAAGACCAATTTATCAATAGAAATACGTGAGATACAGCGGGCATATATGGCCCTTTTTTCAATATTTGCTCGGGAATTTCGTTCTTCGGGAACCAATGAAAGCCTTTTTCGCGTTATATTTATTTTCCGCAATTTTCTTGATACTGTTAATTGAGATATTACCTTACCGGTTGCTGCATTAACTTCATTTACTATTTCATTTTGTGTCAGTTCATTATTTATTGCTATCGTATTAAATAAAGTATTTTCGATTTCACTGAACAACAAATTTTTGTTTTTGTTTTTTTGTGGCGTTCTCCCTTAGTAGCAAATTTGATGCCTTCTTGATGATTTCTTATGCAGTTTCTTACAGCACTTTAGCTAATGTTTAAAGTTTCGGCAATGTATTTGGTTGAATGATTATTTATCGAATTAGACATGTTTATAATTGTTTTATGAATTTCCTTAGTTATCGTTTTTCAACTTTTTCTTACCATGTAAGGTTTTAAATTTTTATTTTTTAACATTAATTAAAAAACTTGCATTAATTAGATAAAAACGTTACTGATTTGGTTTATGTTTTTCAGCCAGTTAGTCATTTAATTTTTAATTACAATTTAATATTGTATTTTAATTCCTATACAGCTTTCTCAGATGATTCTGAAATGACCTGTTCTATTATAATGGCATTTATTTATTGTTAAATAAAGCACTTTATAATTTTGCATAAAACAATTTATAATTTTGCATAATGCACAATATAATTTTGCATAACTCTGTAAAATAGCTACACTAGAATCATTCTGCTCATCACTACCGTGATTTTTACGGCCATGTTTTTGCCAAATAAGCGCTTTTTTTTCTGAATCTTAATTGTAACATAAATTTTAATATTTATTTTACTATGTGGATCCGAAAATCAATATTATGACTTAAATGAATTTAAGTAAAAACAATTGTAGAACACATTATTTTAAACGATAATTTGTTTCGAAAATTTAAATATTTTACTTTTTTTTTTGGTGCAGTTTTTAATGAAATTATTTATTAAACAAAAATTTATTTGGCAAATAAATAAATTCTTTAAAAAAAAACCGTCAAAAAATTACTTGTAGTTTTTAAGTTACTTAACAAAAGTTTAGACCTGACAAAAGTTTTACAATTTTATTATAAATTAGTTTTAGTTTAATCTATTTTTTCAAAACCAATGCATACATTGCCGTATCTTGCTGCCAGGTTGGAAAAAAAAAAAAAAAATTTTTTTTTTCTCTTAAGGCTAAATATTACAGGTCTGAGTTTTTTAAACCTGTTTTCAAGCTTCAATTTAATTATAATTAGGATAAAAGATAAACTTTTAATTTGTTCATCAGTTTTAATTTGTTCATCAATTGACTTTCCTTTAGACTATAGAATTATCATTCTTTTAGCTAAAAAATTATGGATAAAAAATGATCCAAATTTTAATTCCATTTAAAAATAAAAAAGCAAAGTTTAAAAAATTTACAAAAAATTACATTAAATACACTATATTAAAAAAAAATTACATTAAAATACACTATATAAAAAAAAACAAACAGTTTGGCTTAGTATTATCAAGATTAAACTTGACGTTTTATCCAAATCTTTGAGTAAAACACTTTTTCTTTTTTTTTTTGTGTGGATTGTGCAACTTACTTTTAACTAAGTCAAGAAAACGCCATAAGAATTGATGGTCATTATACGGTATCGTAACTGCATTTTGATGTTATTTTTTTATGCATTGTGATGTTTTTTTAAGAGTTGAGTAACACAAATAAGTTTCAAATTTTTGTATTAAAAAGCTGTTGGAATTACTTGATTTGTGAACGTATCAGTTTTAAATATTTTTTTATTAGTTAAAACGCAATTTTATTTTAAAAGTTTTTTTTTTAAGAAGAATATTTGGTTGTTGACAAAATAGCACCAGATGAAATAAGTTTCCACCTTAGTTTTCTACGTTAGTTCAATACATATAATCCACATAGTATTTATATAATTTCATTGAAAAATGCTTATGTTTCATTGTAAATTTGTTGCTTTTTTATAATAAAAGCCATAGTAGGGTTTTGTGATGTCATAAGTGTAAACCATTTATCAAAAATTCAGTTAAATCAAAAAGTTGTGAGTATAGAAACATTTAAATCAAGAAGTTGTGAGTATAGAATCATTTAAATCGAGAAGTTGTGAGTATAGAAAGATTTTTTTCTATTTGTAATAAATTTTAATCCACAACTTACATTATGATTTATTACAATATAATGCTCTTAATACTTCTGTTTTGTTAAAATGTTTTTCGTCAAGATGCTAAGTTTATTATTAGTAAACATCAAATCCATCAAATATATAAACATCATATATATATATATATATATATATATATATATATATATATATATATATATATATATATATATATATATATATATTTGAATTTTAGCTGTAATTATTATTAGCTGTAACTCAAATACATATTTAGAATGTCAACAAGTTTGTGCAGGAATTTTGAATCCGATAAAAGTATATATATTTTTTGAATTCCAGCTGTAATTATGAAAGGTTTGTTACATAAGAGAAATGTTCTTGTATTCTTCAATAAATAAAGCACATTTGCTAAAAAATCAATAGAACAACTTGAGTCACATGGATGATTATCTAAACTGGAAAAAGTATAACTTTAAGTACAGCTTATTCTAAAGGATCTCCATTCACTGGTTATTTGCACCTTTATAAACAGAACTTTCACTATAATAATGTTGCAGTTTATTTTCATCTCTTAAATATTCTTTTAAGCATAAAAACTTAAATATGGTTAGCTTGGGCATAAATTATGGCCTTAACATTTTACTATGTTTAGGTAATCTAACAATTACATAGTATGAGCTCGATATGTATCATAGTTACCATTTTCAGTTATTAACATTTCATCAAGATTTAAAGCACTTTCTTTTTCATGAATTTTTATTACATTCACGTTAGTTTTCATAAACCTTTACAAATATTTAACAAAAATTTAGTAGCATGTTCACTCGCAGTTAGTTTTTTTGGCAAAAACATGGCGTCAAAAACCATAAAAATCCAACATCCATTCAAAAATGATCACACGTATGTCACCTCTGTGAGAATATAGGCTATCTACCGTGAGGAACATAAGCACCTCTATGATAAGAGTTTTAATTGAAATTATATATATATATATATATATATATATATATATATATATATATATATATATATATATATATATATATATATATATATATATACACACATATACTATTTTTTTTTTTTTTTAGCCTCTGATTTTAAAAAGAAATATAATCGCGATACTAGTCTTGAACAAGACGATAAAAAGAAAACTGGAACTGTTTGGGATCGCAAAGACAAAAATAGAAGTCTAAGTCCCGAACGTAACAAACGAAGAAATTCAAGTCCAAGCCCAAGACGCAAAAACTTGAGTCCGAGTCCAAGACGTAAAAATTTAAGTCCCAGTCCTAGACGTAAAAACTCAAGTCCGAGTCCAAGACGTAAAAATTTGAGTCCGAGTCCGAGATTTAAAAACTCAAGTTCGAGTCCCAGACGTAAAAACTCAAGTTCGAGTCCGAGGCGTAAAAACTCGAGTCCAAGTCCAAGGCGTAAAAATTTGAGCCCGAGTCCTAGGCGTAAAAATTCGAGCCCGAGTCCGAGGCGTAGAAACTCGAGTCTTAGTCCGAGACGTAAAAGATCTAGAACACCGCCGAGAAAAAGGCATTCTAGAAGTCGAAGTTTTGAGCGTAAAAAAAAATCACGGAGCCGGAGTCCAGACAGAAAGCGAAGAAGATCACGAAGCGTTGAACGAAAAAAAAGATCGCGTAGTCGAAGTCGAGATAGTAGGCGTTCTCGTAGTCCTGAAAGAAGGCGAGGTTCTCCGAGAAGAAGAAGAAGTTTTAGTCGAAGTGTTAGTCCTCCAAGAAGATATTGCAGCAAATGGGCTAAACCTTCAACTGGCCTAACAAGGGCTGTTTTACCAGCTAATCCATCTAGTAAGAGTTTTGTTTTCAAAATCTTAATTGCTTTAAAACATTTACTTTTAAATACATTGATTTAAAATGAATTATGTTTAGCATTCATATGTAACCATAGTAACCTGTTTAGCATAGGTATTTTATTATGAGACACATACTTTAGATAAAAAGTCAAAAGAAGTTTCTACTGAGGAAGTTGAACAGCGTTTAGCAGAACACTTAATAGCTGTGAAAGAAAAAAATGCTGAAGAAGCTAAACGGATCAATCTACCAGGATATCTTAACCCTGCCATGATCAATGTACAACAGTTTAAACAAGTACAAGACAAACGAAAACTGCTTTGGAGTAAGGCTAAAGATAAGGTAAGCTATATTATATTAGCAATAATGCAATAACTTGCATAGTAGTAATAAATACGATATGCATAAAAATGTTGATATTATCAAATAAAAGGTTTTTCTTACTTTTTTTACTAAAAAATGTTTAAATTTAGAAAGAAGGAGCTAGTCAGTGGGTTGGGGCGTTCGAAGATCAGGGTAACGACGAGAAGTTTAAGAGGTTAATGGGTATTCAAGGAATACAAGTTGACGCCGCCAAATCGTCTAAAATTCAGGAGAGTAAAAAAGTATTAGACAATCTTGAAAAAGAATATGAAAAGTCTCGTGCTTTTCAATTATCGCGTGGAGCAGGCGGTATTACGGGAATAGGTCTAGGTTTTGGTTCTCTAGCGCATTCCCCGTAAAAATAATTGTTTTTCCAAAATTTGTATCTCTTGTTTAGTGCGTTAGCCTTTTATTTTTCTGTAAATATAACTTATCTAAATTTTTTGTTTCGTTTCTTTTCATCAATTAATATATATCCCTAATTTTGTATTCTTAAATGGTATCGAATCAATTTCATAAGCAGTAGAAAATATAGTCTCTATATTTGAAAATGCTTTGTTTAGTGTCGAAAAGTACAAACAAAAATTGTTCTAGTATTTTGATCAGGGGATTTTTTGCGCATTATTAAAATTCTTGTTCAATCAAAAAAGTTGTGGTTGTTGTACTCGATTAACTAAGGTACCACCTGTCTCGATTTTTTTTTCTCCCGGTGTAAAACTTCTCCCGTCAATTTTTTTCGCTACAATAAACCGTGTCAAATAGTTGGACCCACAAAAATCTCATCGAACCTTAAAGCTCCTAATTCAGAAGACAGCTTCAACCACTGCGCCAAAGCTGATCAATTTTGTCTCGTATTCAAATTAATAATAAAATACATACCTGAAAGGCGTAGTTATAAAATAGAAAATAAAGTAATTTTTTTTTTTTTAATTTTATTCTAGGTGCCACAAGAAGTCTATATGGTCAACAGTGCACCGCGGAAGAGCATTTTAATAAAAAGTTCACGCCTCCTTTCTAACTGATGTCGCAAAAATTGCTCAATGTCGGGTCCGAACCACTAGTCCTTTGATTTTAAGGCAAGTGCGCTATCACCATTTTTAGCAGATTCTGTTTATTTTTTTAACACATTCAAATTTGGTGAATCTGTTAGTATTAATGTGATTCTATTTCTTTTATTTTTGAATGGTCTCAAATCTTCAGCTGATAGAACTACTGTTAAATATGTAGATGCGCTATGTAAATCATTGTCTGGATTTAAAATATCGAAATATGACACTAAAAACTGGTTGTTCAAAAATATTTTGAACAACCAGTTTTTATCATATCTTTTTCTGATATTGTAAAGTCAACATTTATTACATTATTAGCTGTTACTTTTTTAAACCAGCCTAGATATTATTAGGGATACATGGTAGTGGAAATGAATTACATACAATGCATGGTATGCTGTAAACAATCATTGAGGATTGTCATGATTCATTGTCATCTATGCATCACAAGCTGTGTTTGTGTATTTTTTAAAAGCTTTAAATACACAGCGATTGGGTGTAAGGAATAATGTCGAAAAGTAAATTTCGGGATAGTGTCGAATATATTAAAAAAGCCTAACGTCGCAAAAAAAGGAATAGTGTCGCAAATGAGTTTATTAAATAGTGACAAAATAAAAAAAGGAACAGTGTCGCAAAAGAATTTAATAAATAGTGTCGAAAACAAAAAAAAGGAATTGTGTCGCGAATAGTAAAATTGGAATAGTGTCGAAAACATTAAAAAGGAACAGTGTCGCAAATGTGCGGCCATGGCGTAGTGGTTAGAGCGCTTACTTTATAGGCAGGAGATCCAGGTTCGAAACGAGCTCTGGACATAATTCGCGTCACGGTAAGGAAGGAGTTGTGAACTTCCTGGTTAAATGCACTTCCGCGGTGCTCTGCGACAAGACTGTTAGGTCTTCTTGGGGCACCTAAATAACAAACAAACAAACAAATAGTAAAAATGGAATAGCGTCGCAAATAGTAAAAACAGAATAGTGTTGCAAATAGTAAAAACAGAATAGTGCCGCAAATAGTAAAAATGGAAATTTAGTCGGAGAGAAATAGCGCAAATAGGGTCAATTCCAGACAAATATAGTATAATGCTGAAGTTTGGCAGAGAGAAAGTGCACAGTCTTTGGGTGGGCATAAAGTTGATTTCTAATTGGCTGGCGAAATTGTGAACTTTTTTGACAAAGTTGATTTTGTGAGTCTCATAGAAGTTGGTCACGGTTTTGGCATAATGCGATGAGGCCAGGTCCGGCCAAAATACATAATTATCATCGGCATGATGAGTATTGATAAACGACACTAATTTTTTTTAAATAAAATCCATTTCGTAGATGGCTTTATTGACTGCAAGGCCGCTGGGGATGAAAAATGGCTTGGAAATACCTTTGTCAGAAGCGGCCAGCCAGACAAACAGCTTGGGTTCAAACTATTTACGAAACGCTTTTTGCGAAATTTAACGCTTGGTGGAGTCTTGTCTCTGGCTAGAGTAGTAGATGCTGTTTCCGTTTATCGTTGAGTGTGACAGCGTGAAGTAAGATTCGTCGTCAAGGATAACCAATTTTTCTTGAAAATCACGATAAAGACGATCAACGCCGGTCTTGATTCGTTCAATATGGCTCTCTTGTCGATCAGGTATACCCTGTTTTGTGAAAGTTTTGATTCAGTGTACTTGGCAAGAGTTTTAGCAATATGTGAATGACTGCATCGAAATTTTCGACTGGCTTGCCTCATCGAAACTCGGTCACTGTGGTCAAATATGGTTCTCAGACGCTTGACCACCATCGAGGTCATGATTTTGCCCACACGACCACTTCCTTGCACTCTTTTGTGTTCAAAATTATTCTTAGCACGTTTGATTATATTATAGATAAAGTATTCTTGGAATTTGTTCAGCATTGAAGTGATCTACTGTAAATTTTTTACCTTGCAATTTATTATTCAAAAAGAACTCGTAAATCCGTTTTCTTACCTAGTTAATTTATAGAGAAATAAATAAGCTTTAAAATGGATATAAGAATGAAAAAATAAAGTTTAGCTTATGTCATTTAAAAGTCAGTTAATGTTAGTCCGGATTTGAGTCACTAACCGTTATATATATATATATATATATATATATATATATATATATATATATATATATATATATATATATATATATATATATATATATATATATATATATATATATATATATATATATATATATATATTATAAGATATATATATATTATAAGATGCAGAGAGTGGTATGCGGACGTGTTTTTTAGTCGCAGCGTAAAAAGTTCTAACTTTATGTTAAAAATGGAAATAACAATGAAGAGCATTGAAAAAATGATTTCATCAAAACTTGAAGAACATAAAAAAAGCATACTTAAAGAAACAGAACGTTTGCTAAAGGAGCAGGAAAAAACTTTCACCTCAATAATGAGTGCAAACCTTAAAATTATAATCGATAGGTTAGACGTTATAGAAAAAGACAATAACAACAATAAAAGGAAAATATCGAATTTTGAAAAAGATATCAATGACATTAAAGACAGCCTTAATTTTCAAGAAGATAAAATATCAGAAAAATTATCACACATAAAAAAATACTAAGACAATGAAGTAAATATATTAAACAAAAAAACAGTAGATTTGGAAAATCGATCGAGACGAAACAACTTAAGAATAGACGGACTACACGAAACACCAGGAGAGAATTGGGATGATTGCGAAAAAGCAGTAAAAGTAATGATTAAAAAACAACTTAAAATAACAAGTGAAGTGGTGATTGAACGAGCTCATCGTATCGGTCAACACAAGCATAACAAACCAAGAACAATAGTCTTAAAACTCTTAAATTTTCAGGACAAAAACAAAATTCTCAACGCAGTAAAGCACCTTAAAGGAACCGGCCTATACGTTAATGAAGACTTCGCTCCAGAAACAACTGAACTCCGAAGAAAGCTTTGGGAAGAAGTAAAAAAACTACGCAGCGAAGGTAAATACGCTATTTTAAAATACGATAAAATATTTAGTCGAGATTTCAAAAAGTAGCGCCGCGTTCTCTTTTACTTAAACTCTTTTTTAAACGAACGCGTATTTAATTTTTGCTTCTTAACTTAACCCTTTCTGGCCTGAATTATGCAAATGTAATTTTAAAAAAAATTTTTTCTTGAAAACACACCTATTATAAGTCAAAAATCAAACCCAGACAGAAAAAATTATATAAAACATTTCATACAGCAAAAGATAGCTATGTCGCGTATTGTACACAACAGGCCACAACGGCCGTATAAGACAAGGTACAATAACACAGTTATCAACAGTTATTCGTGAAACTGGCGAAAACAGTTACTCTTCTTTGAAAGGCAAAGATTTGCATTGCACTTAGTGCATACAAAAACAGTTTGTCCTTTGCACCCTGGACGCTTGCACCTCTGCCTCACACCATGTGCCGGCCAGTGACCAACAGAGTCTGTGCGAACATCCTGAGTTGGCACAGGCTTAGCAGGTCCCCTCTTCTTCTTGCGCTGCAGCTCTGCCTCCATACTGGTTGATGGTCTGCCACGCTTCTTTGCTGTCATGTCTTTGCCTTCACGACAAAGAGCATCAGCTATTTCAAGCTTGAAGGCCATAAGATCCTTCTGCTGACGCTTATCAACTCCCATATCACGACAATCCCGGCGATACAGTAACCAGCCAGTTGCCACTGCCAAGTCCACAAAATGGAAAAAAAAGCGGTGGTAATATTTCTTTGATTTCAAGTGGATCCGATACCTCGCCATGATGGCATCCAGGGTATCAACTCCTCCCATGAACTTGTTGTAGATCTGTATGATTTCTGGGCGTGGCACGTCAATATGCTGCTTTGTAGTACGATCCCACCGCCTCGCAGTTGACACTGGTTCTGCACTAGCAAATGTACTGGCTAGTGTTACAGACTTGTTGTCAAACCACTTGACAACTCGAACTTCGACACCATTGACCACACCCTCTCTTTCTTCAAATGAGCCACGCCCTTTCTTCTTCAGAGTTGCATCAGCAATCATCTTGCAATTCTGAAGACGATTCGCACGAACTGTCCCAACTGCTAATATGTTCCTATTAGCTAGGGCTGACAGCAACTTCAGTGACGTAAACCAATTGTCAAAAAACAACAGGTACTGCTTCTCTTGCGGCAAGACCTCGACCAGCTGAAGCACAATGTTGCCACTGGCACCAATGTTTGCTTGATTGGATGCTGCCTGAATCTTTCCAGTGTATATTATGAAATTATGCACAATTCCAGTCACATCACACAGCATAAACACTTTATAGCCCCATTTGTAGGGCTTGCTCGGAATGTACTGTTTCATTCCCGACTGTCCCTTGAATGGGATAATTTGTTCATCCACTGACAACTTATGGTCAACTTCCAGTG